TCTAAAAAAGAAAATTTAAAAAATAAATAAAATATTGGGGTTGGTTTTAAAAAATAATTTTGGAAGCCTTGCCCCACGCTCTCCTAGTTTCTGAGAAGCCCAAGGCCACTCTGATTCTCCAGCTTTGATGTGACATCTGGCTTCCTTTCCGGAAGCTTTCAGGTCTCCCCTTTATTCCCAGGGCTCTGAAATTTCAGGAGGATGAGTCTTGGCCAGCGCCTTTTCTCATTCATTGATGTGCATAACTGAGAGCCTCTTGGCCTTCAATCTGGAATTAATTCTACGTTATTTGATCATCTCTTCCTCTGGTGTTGGATCCCTCTTGATCCAGTGACAAACCTGCTCCTGACTCCGTCCTCCAACTTCGTGGTAATTGTCTCCTCCGTCACCGCATCTGCTCTATTCTGTTTTCTGGGACATTTACTTGACTTTAGCATCCGATCTTCACAGGAGATCATTCACTCCTGCAGTGCTGGGGATGGAGTGGGAGGACTTGCGCATGCCGCGAAGCTCTCTGCCTCTGAGCTATAGCATGGCCCCCTTTTTCATTTCCTTTTCTCTAATTGTCCTTTTTCTTTAGCAGGACCACATTCTTGTTTCATGAATACATTTCTCTCACTCCCTGACAATATTGATAGCTTTTCCTGTTTTGTTGATTTTTTTTCTGAAATTAACCATTTCTCTTGATACTCTCTCCATCCTCCCATTAGATGATTTTCTAAAATATCCAATAAACTGTGTTCATCTTGCTTGACCATAAAATATGAAGCAGCCAATTAGAGACTTTGAGCATCTTCCTCAGAGGGAGATGGAGAGTGAGATGTTGTCATTTCACACTCTAAATGGGCAAAACCCTGTCCCCAAGAAATGAGTCACAGTGCAGGGAATATTTATTTAACTTACTTATTTGGTACCAGAGATTGAACCCAGGGGTGCTTAGCCACTGAGCCACATCCCCGGCCCTTTTTTATTTTGAGACAGGGCCTCACTAAGTTGCTTAGGGCCTCTCTAAGTTGCTGAGGCTGACTTTGAACTCGTGATCCTCCTGCCAACTTTGCTGCTGGGATCACCGGCGTGCGCCACCACACCCAGTTTACCCGTTTATTTCTGAGGACATGGGTGGACATCTGGTCTGAGTGTTCTGAAACCCAAAGCCTTGCTGTGTGCTCCCAGTGTGCCTTGGGGCTGGCACAGAGGAGGGGCTGGCAGCAGGGACCCACAATACAGCCTGCCTCTCTCGGCACCTGGAGGGCAGTGACGGGGAGCGGCTGGAGGAGGCACTTGGGATGGGACAAACTCCACAAGGCGATTGTGATCAAGTTGAAGCTGAGGCCACAGCCACCCCAGCCCCTGTTGTGGGGAGCCAGTCCTGGTGGGTGATGCCTGCCCACCTGTCCTTTCAGTGGGTCCTGGGGGGGGGGGGCTTGCCGCCGAGGCTGGGGAGTGAGGCTCAGCTCCATGCTATTCCCCTTCCCCAGCCTCTGTGGGTGGTGGGGGCTGCTGGGGGCCTTCTCCCTGCAGAGAGAAAGAGAGGCCTGCCCCTTGGGAGAGGGAGGGGTGCCCCTGAACCCCCACTCCCCTCTCCAGGCCCTCTGTTTAGACCCTCTCACCTGCAGAGGGCACTGGAGTAGGCCACTCTAAGGAGGTCCTGTGGGAGCGCTTGGATATCTGCTTTGGGCTGTGGGTGCCAATGTCTGCCTGGCACAGGGTCCCCAGGGCCATCAGGCCCCACAGGGAGGAGCTCAGGATGTCGGTTGCCTTTCACAGACACTGGGTGGTGGGGTTTGTGGTGCGCCCAGGGCTGGCTGATTAACCACCTTTTCCACCCAGGTCTGCATTGATTGAATGATTCACGGTGTAGTTTCTGTGGGTCCTCCGACATCCCCCAGGTTGGGGCTGCAGAGAGGAGGGGAAAAGCCAGCCTTTGGGGGTTAGGGACGGGAATCTTTGCTGGAGTGGGAGGATGAGGGGGTTGGGGGCCAGAGGCTGGGGAGGGGCCGGAATGGGCCCAGGGAGGGGGATGGGAGCTGGCTGTGGAGAGTGCTCACTCTGTGACTCTTTGTCTCCCCACCTGCCTCCTGCCCCGTGACCCTCTGTCCTCGCCTTCCTTTTCTGCGCTGTCCCTCCCGCTGCCCCTTGTGGTCCTTCATCCTGGTCATGCTTCCCTGCCGTCCCCCGCTCCCTGCTCTGCATCCCCTGCCTCTGTCCTGGGTCCCCCTCCTCCCTGCTCTGTCCTCCCACCCCATCTCCCTTCCGGGTCCCGACCCTCCCGGCTCTGCCCTCCGGCCGGGACCCGCGGCCGCCGCGCGGTGGCGCTGTCCGCGGCCCTGCTCCCCGCAGCCTGCAAGCGCAAGGAGCAGGAGCAGCAGAAGGAGCGCGCGCTGCAGCCCAAGAAGCAGCGCCTGGTGTTCACCGACCTGCAGCGGCGCACGCTGATCGCCATCTTCAAGGAGAACAAGCGGCCGTCGAAGGAGATGCAGGTCACCATCTCGCAGCAGCTCGGCCTGGAGCTCAACACCGTCAGCAACTTCTTCATGAACGCGCGGCGCCGCTGCATGAACCGCTGGGCGGAGGAGCCGGGCGCCGCCCCCGGGGGCCCTGCGGGGGCCGCCGCCACCTTCTCCAAGGCCTGAGGCTCCCTCCGGCCCGGGCGCTGCAGGGGTGCCGCGCGCCCCGCCCGGGAGGGACCGCACACCCCAGCCCGAGCGCACAAGGGCCCCCCCACCCCGCCCAGCCGAGGAAGCCCCCCACCCCGAGGGGACGGCGGGAAGGAGCTCCCCAGCCCCTCACCCAGGACGCCAGGGGCCTCGAGGAAAGCCAGGCTCACGGTGTCGTTCCCTAAAGCGGGTCAAGAAGCACAGACTAGAAATATAAACCGGGTATTTAAAAAAAGGAATTTTAAGAATAACTAACCCTTTCGCCAGACCCCCGACCCACGGAGGAAGGCAGAGGCCTGCCCTCCTTCCTCCCCAGCGCCTCCTGTCCCCTCCCCAAGAACTCGGCCCCCTGGAAGTCGCCAAAACCCCCGTCAAGCTGGGTCCTTGCAGAGCCCCCCCCCCCCACCCCACGCCGACCCCCTCCGCTGGCAGGACGGCGCCCTACCGCCGAGACCCGAGCTGCCCTCCCAGCGGCCAGGACTCCTTGTGCCAAGAATCGCCTGCCTTAAAGCCCGGGGAGGGGGCCTGCGGGCCAGCGCCCTTCCCACCCCCACCCAGACGGCCGGGGTCCAGCTCCAACATGCGGGTAACTCCCAGACGCCTCCCTCCCCGCCCCCTTGGTTATTCACTTTATCCCCAGGCACCTTGACGACGGGTCCCCAGGGAAGGGCAGAACCCAGAAACCAGGAGACGACGCTGGAGTCCACCAGCCCCGGCCCTCAGAGCACCCGGCTGCCGCGGCCTGGGCTGACTCCTGAGCCCTGGAATTCACCACCCCGCCCCACCCCTGCCTCCTGGGGTGCAGAACTCAGCCTGCAGGAGCCTGAGGTGAACTGCTCGCCTGCCACAGCTCTCCCCAAGGAGAGAAGGACGACTTTGAGGAAGTTGGAATCTGCTTGCTCCATTTTTTTGCCAAAAAAAAAGAAAAAGAAAAAAAATGCAGGGGGAGGGTGAGAAATGAAGATGAGCACCCACACACCCTGCTCATCTTGTCTCCTCTGGGTGACCTCCAGGACTGGCCAGCAGCTGGATCCCAGGACCCACCCCCCCCTGGGGTTCCAGATCCAGAAGCCAACCCGTCCCCTGGCCCCACCTGTGGGCTGCCTCCCAGGGAGGGCCCCCCCATTTCCCCTGGAGAACGCAAGAGACATTTCCAATGAACCCCCCCAGGTAAAGGCTACCTCACTCAACCTTCAATCTGTGATTGGAAAAATCACGCCTGATACCAAAGATTCCCCCAAGGACTTGTGCTGGATGCTAGGGTCCCCCGCAGCCAGGGGCTGCCCTGCCCCCAGAGAGCGAGAGAATGAGGGAGAGAGGACAGCGAGGTCGATGAGTGCCTTTTTCTTGAACCAAAGATGTGTGTGGAGTGTCCTCTGTCCTTATCGACACGCTGTGCTCCCAGCTTCTTAGCAACCCATCTGAAGGATGCTTCTAGAACCTTTGGGTGTTGGGGCAGAATCCCCAAAGTGAAAACTCCCCATCCCCACTCACAAGTGACCCTGCCCCAGACGCATGCATGAGGACATACACAGACATGCACAAACTCACACTGACACACACACACTGCCTCCTATGCCTCACGGTGGTCCCTGGGCACTGAATGCCACTCTGGGGGAGCACAGGCTCCCCACTAATACCTGGGCCCCCTTTACCCCTTTCATCCCCCAATTTCTGATGGGCAGGTCTAGAGCTCCCTCCCCAGGCCTGGCCGCCTGGGGCTCCTCGGGAGTCCCACAGGCCCAGGGCTGGCGAGACCCTTTTCATTTCTCTTAAGATCAGCAGCAAACTTTTAAGTTATGCCAAGTGAGCGTGTCCCTCCCAGGCAGTGACCTGCCCAAGTGCCAGCCCTTCTGAGAACACAGGGACTGGTGGCTCCTGCCTTCCAACCCCAGGGCCAGGGCCAGGGGCTTCCTGTGTCCCTGTGGAAGGGGAGGCCTTGCCCTGAGGCGGTTCTGACTTGGGTGGTCAGGTCAGGTGAAGCCTCCTCAGAGCACCCGGGCTCCTGGATCTCTCTCCTTTTTCTCAGCAGTGGGGAGGACCCAGAGCCTGGTGCCTGCTACGCAAGCCCTGGCCACTGCGCTGCACCCCCAGTCCCCATGGACGGACACACACACACACACACACACCACGCCCACACCGGCTCTTGTGCCCTGCCTGAGCTCAGCCAGGCCTGGACCCCAAATGTCTCCTATACCCACCTGATCATCCCATACCAAAGACCATTTTCCCCACAGGGAACCCAATCTCCAGCACAATTCCTTCAAGCCTTTGACAATTTTCTCTGAAATACCTCAAAATATTTAATGTATAGTTTATGTGATAAAAAAAAAAATCCTTAGCTAGTTTTTGGAAAACGTGACTTGAAGCTTTATACCGTTAAATTATAATTTTGCAGACGATGGCATGTCGTTTCTTTGGCCCGTTCTGTGGGAGACGTATTGAATGTCAGGGCGGTGCAGCCGGTGGTCAGAGGGCGGGAGGGCAAGGCTGTGAGGCAGGGACCGGCGGTTGACAGACGCTCACGGAGATGAGTCTTTGGGAAAGAGAGAGGGTGTGCAAGGTGTACCTTTCTGATCTCTGGCTTGTTCTGTTTCTCGTTTTTTGGAGTCATGTCTTATGAGAGTATTTATTATTCTGTGTGTTCTGTGTTCAAATGTGATTTAAGAAAAAAGAAAAAAAGACAAAATGGAGTTTGATTTGATGCATGGCTAATGTACTCTTTCTTGGCGATAATGTAATGAGCGGGGGGTGGGGGGCTGAAGCCGGGGTCACGTCACGTCCGGTCCGTCTTTGTATCCATGCCGCCATCTCTGCTCTGTGTTTCTGTTCCCCTTCTGAGGAGCCCCAGGGAGAGGGAAGGTGGTCCCAGAGCAAGCAGGGCTGGCCCTCGCGCCGCCTGCCCGCCGCAGGCCTTGGGTGCCCCGGGGTGTCAGCCCCATCTTGCCCCCAGGCCCCCCACCCAGCTGGTTTCACTTTACTTGGATTTCCCAATGTCTTGTCACAGGAGAAGACAATCAAGAGCAGCCTCGTCACCCAGGGTGGGGGGCTGGGTGCTCCCCATCTCCCCAGATCCGCCTGGCCTGATACCCCCACTCCACCAGACACTCAGCCTCCCTGGCCCTGGGTTGGACAGGAGCGGGGACGATGTGGCCCTGTGGGGGGCCCATCCCCTAGCCCACTTGGGGATCTGGAGGACAGAAGGCCCCTCTGTCCCAGCACCAGGAACGATGGCTCTGGGACCATGTCCTTCTGCCTGTGACTTGGCTACTACCAGGAGGCCAGGGCCCCGAGCCACCACCCAGGGCCCTGGAGTTGGGGAAAGGGGGCCAGGCTGTACTCCTGGGCGTGGCTGCAGAGAGGAGGTGGCCACCCACTTCCTAGGACAGGCCCCAGGCAGGGGTGTCCTGCTCCCTGCAGGACAGAAGGCCTCCTCTGCAGGGCTGGGCCTGGGCCCTGGAGAGGTGGGGGTGGGTGCTGCTGGCCATTCTCCTTCTCAGCCCCAAGTGGTTTGACCAAAATCAGGACCCCCAGGGCACTGGGCTCCTCCTGGGGACCCCATCAGACCTTCAAGAGCTGTTTTTGGAGGGGTACCTCAGCTGTGGGGGGAAGGAGGCCCCCAGAGTTTTTAATCAGGTTGGAAGGGGCTGCTTACAGGGGAGACCCTATTCAGATCATCCAAAGGCCCCTCTCCCCCAGTGCGAGAGGGACAAGCAGCCCTCTCTGCCCCCACCCTCAGCAACAGGCTTACAAGTTAAAAAACAAAAACCAAAAACCCTCCTCATTGTCAACCATTTTCCTTCAATAAATTATTTTCTAGTCACTCACCTGGGTGTGTGTGCTGGCTGACTGCAGGGGGTGGGGAGGATGGGAGCCCCGCCGGGAGGTGGGAGGCCACGGCCAGGGTTGGGGGTCTGCCTCTCCCTGGCTGGGCCTGGGGTCCTGGCCCAGCCTGCTCCTGGGCCGCAGCAGCCTGGGACCCACACCACAGCCCTGCTGAAGCCAGATGGCCCCAGGGTGGGGACCTTCCAGGACCTGCTCTCCAGGTCCCCAGGAGAGGGCAGCCCACCTGAGGGAGAAGCCACAGGGCAGCGAGAGCCACAGGGGGCGCCAGGAGAAGGGGGAAGCCCCTGCACTCGCCCCCGGGGCAGCCCAGAGTGAGGAAAGGAGTGAGCCCAGAGCAACCCTGGGGTCAGGGGGACCCTGGTTTATTAGAAAATGAAAAGACGTGGCCCCTGTCACTGGAGGCAGGCTCCCGCTTGCTGGTTGCCTCTGGGGGCAGCTGCCCTGCTCGACCGGGTGGCGACTGGTCCTCGGGCAGCTCTGGCAGCCACTCCATGGGCGAGGGCTGCCTCTCCACCGGCCCCAGCTCTACCTCCATGGGCTGCTCACTCAGGGACGACTCCTCCAGGGTGGGCCGCAGAGCCTCTGCGGGGGGGGGGGGCGGGCGTCTGTGGGGGCAGCGGCGCCACCGCCTCCGTGGCAGGGTGGCGCTCCTTCTGCCAGACACCTGGCCAGCTCTCCCTGATGGGAGTCTGGACCGAGGGCGGCCGTCCCTCCAGGGGCTCTGGCTGGCTCTTCACCGTCTGGCCTGAAGGCAGAGGATGACTCATGACTCGTGAGGAGCTGAGACTGATTTTCAGAAAGTGACTTGTTTTCCTGGGTGGACCCTGGTGACCTGCTCGTGGTGGCAGGTGACGTCTTGCGGACAGTGGAGTGGCTCTCTGAGGGAAGCGCACCCAGCCCCTCTGCAGCCACGGTCGAGCTTGACCCACTCCAGGTCTGTGTGTCCTCTAAGGACGGCTTCCCTGGGTGCTGGTGACTCTTCCTCTTCATGCCTGAGGCCCTCCGCGTGAGGCAGGGTGACTCCCTGCAGCTCAGGGACACCTCTGCATCGGAGGGGGCTGTGGAATCTGAGAGGTCCTCGCTGTCGCTCCTGGCTGACTTGCGCAGGCTCGTGCCCCGAGTGATGAGGTCCGCGTAGCCTTCGCGATGGGAGAAGGCGTAGCTGGAGCGCCGTGAGGGGGTCCCCCGGCGCAGGGGAGGTGCGGCCTCCACGGTGACAATGTCCTCAGGCGGGGCCTCCTCTTCTGGCTGCAGAGCAAAGGGGCAGCACAGGGCACTCAGGCTGCCCCAGGCTGTTGACTGGCCTTAGGTCACTGCCTCCTGGGGGCATTTACAGCCTTTGGTGTACAGGCACTGGCCAGGTCCTTCCCTCCCCACGGGAGCCCACCAGTGTCCTGCCGGAACCTGATTCTGGACCAACCCTGGACCTGCCTCACCTCGCGACGTGGCTTCTTGAGCGCTTGGTAGATGACCCGGAAGGCCAGGACGGGCAGCGTGCTCAGGGACACGTTCAGCAGGATCACCAGCAGGCTCGAGGGGTGGGCCAGCACGTTTCGGTCAGCATCTGGGCAGGGTGGGAGTCACGGCAGGGCCCACGTGGTGCCCTCACCTCCTTCCCCTCCCCTCCCCTGCGGTCCACCATGCACAAACTCCAGAAATTCAGCCCCTTTCTTGGGACACTTCATTGGGTGACTGGTGATCTGCCCACCCCCTTGCATAGCTGTCGTCAAGGACCGTCCCATGCCTGGGCCACCTCCCACACTGTGGGCACCCACATCACAACCCCTACTGGGGACTCACACAGAAATGGGAAGGCCTTGGGTGACATCTTCCAGAGCCACAAGCTCTGAGTGGCATATGTCATGATGACGTAGGAACCAAGGCTGAACAAAATGGTCAGCAGGCACAGGACTGTCCAGTACCTGATGATCAGGATGACCTGGACAGGGAAGGGTGCAGCTGAGGACAAGGAGCCCCAGATCCCCCTGGTGGGGCCCCTGAAGCAGAGGCCAGGGGGACGAGGGCCCAGGGCTGCCTACCTCCAGGGTGATGGACAGCAACCCAGACAGGGCCAGAATGACGGCAAAGGACTGGTAGTCACTGAAGCTGGAGGGTCCCACCGAGTCGTGGCCAACCCAGAGTGTCACAAAGAAGTTGACCAGGGAGGTGGCCGTGCCATGGGCAATGGCTTGGAAGAACACCCAGTAGTTGAAGAGCTCGTTCTCCTGGCCCGCGGTGTACAGCTCGGGCATCTGCAGGCTCTTCTCGGCGGTCACATCCTAGGGGTGGAGGCTCATGGGGCAGGGCGTGGGCAGAAGGACCCCAAGGGCACAGACCCCCCACTAGCCACTGGTCACGCATGGCAAGTGGAATGGAAAGGGTTCCCGCGAGGAGGCTCTGTGGGGTGTGGGGTGCTGTCAAGAGGCGCCTTTGAGGACTCCCCATGAGACGGGGCTCCACGGAGGGGTGGAGAGGTGCTCAGACCCTGCCACCGGGACCCTGGGCCTGGCTTGTGGCCCCCAGCCTGGCCCCGGCCGTCGGCTGGAGAAGGCCCACCTCTCACCTGCTCGAAGAGCCCGATGTAGAGGACCGGCATGGTGCTGTAGAGCAGGTTGAAGAGCGCCAGGAACCAGCCTTCGTACAGGGGCTGTGCCGGGAGCGCGGGAGGACAGGGTGGCCCTCAGACGCCCCATGGCCAGGGACCTAGGCACATCCGGGCCCCAGGAGCCCCGCCAAGCTGGCCAGGCACTTGGGGAGGGGTCCAGGCCAAAACTGGGTCTACTACTAGACCAGGACGGGGCTGAGAGGCCAGGGAAGGCTGGAGCGCGGAAGGCGGGGAAGGCGGCCTCTGCAGGAAGCACTTCCAGCCTGTGCTTTAAAGGAGGCCCCATAAAGAGCAGCAGGTGGACCGGCTGGAGAGCAGGATCTGCAGGCAGCTCTCGATTCACAGCACCTTAGCTTTAGGGGACCCCTGAGGGGTGCAGAGTGGAAGAGCCCCAGGTACAGCAGCCCAGACCCCTCCCGGGTGGAAACACCGTGGAGATGGACAGACTGAGACAGACTGATAAGACGGGCAGGTGGGCAACAGACCCACGACTGGTAGAGATGACGGGTGGCAGACAGGAGAGGAGACAACACAGATGACAGGCAGACAATGCCAGCCAGGGAGGGTGGGGAGAGGCACAGAAGTGGTGGGTCCAGAGACACACCAGTCCGTCCGTGCGCTCTGCTCTCTGAAAGGGTAAGAGTGTCCCAGTGGCCCTGAGCCCCCACCACCTCAGACCATGGCGTCTAACTTCCACTCACTAATGAAGAAACAGGGCTCCTTGAGGCTGTGGCTGATTCCAGGGCTGGGGAAGGGGACGCGCAAGGGTGCTTCTGGGGAGCTCCCTCTCAGATGCCCAGGACTAGTGACGGGCAGCTCCCTACCTCTGGAAAAGTGGAATTCCAGGCCATTTCCTTACACTAAGGGAGAATCGTGCCCTGTGTCTCCTCTCAGCCCTGAAGAACACATCCAGTCTACCCCGCCTCACCAGGGAGCGGCTAGGAGTCAGGGACCCAGCTCCCAGCACCACCTCCTGTGGGGTTCAGTCCCCTCCAGGGCCCCAGGGGAAGTGCGCTTGGAGCACGCCTTCGCTTCACAGCACTCACTCTCAAAGGACCCCCGGACACGTCAGGCACACGGCAGGTGGGAGTCATGACCCTCCCCCTTGGTCTGGACCCTGTACTTCCACGTATGCAGCCCAGTGTGACCTCAGGCCAGCCTCGCCCGGGGGGGGGGGGGGCGGGGAACCCCAGCATTCTGGGTGGGCCCACCTGCTGCTCCTGAGGGGAGACTATTCCCACCGATGCCCACCTGGGCGGTGAAGCCGTTGTAGAAAGAGAACCAGATCTGAGCCATCACGCTGGCCACCGTCTTGTAGAAGAAGTACCGCAGGAACTTGCAGACCCGCATGTAGGACCAACGCCCGTGCACCAACAGCAACCGCTGCAGGAAGCGGAACTGGGCCAGCGCATAGTCACTGTTCTGAACCGCCTGCGTGCCCTCCTGACCCGACAGCCCCACACCGATGTCCGCAGCTGCAGGGCACATGCAGCTGGTCAGCCCACAGCCACCCAACCAACTGCCCAGTTCCCCCGGCCAGGCCCCCAGCACCCCCAGGCCCCGCACCTCATCCCTGCTGCCCACCACCCACTCTTTATCATGTTGACATCGTTGGCACCGTCCCCGATGGCCAGGGTCACCACGTGCTGGTATTTCTTGACCAGCGCCACCATCAGAGCCTTCTGCTTAGGCGTCACCCGGCAGCAGATGACCGTCTGGCACCTGGTGGCCAGGTCCACAAAGGCCCGCTCCCGAAGCACCTCGGGGCTGTTTGGGGTCTTTGTAGTATTGGACTCGGAAGAGGCCACGGAGGTCCCGAAGCTCCGCCACATGAGGGATATCCGCCTGGCCTGAAGGTAGTCCCTCTTCACCTGGCCAGAATCCTGGTTGGCCTCCTCCATCACCACGTTTTGGACCAGAGCCCGGGGCTCTTTGCGCAAGGACAGCAGCAGCTTGTCCTGGCACAGGGGGAAGAGGGGGCATCATTCTGCCTGCTCCGAGCTCTCTATGCACAGCCCCTATCCAACAGCCTTCCCAGACTGCCCTCCGAGATCCCTATATCGCCATCCCTGGCTGGACCTGCTGGGGCCTCCTCCGTGCAATCTCTCTCTGTTTTCATTCGAGGTCCTGAATAGCCTCCCCTGGGAGCTCTTTGGGGTGCCCACCACCAGCCTGCAGTTCCCCCAGGCTCCTCCCCCATACTAAGACTCTCATTGCCCACCCCAAGTGGACACTGACCAGGAAGTCCCCGCTAATGATCATGGCCAGCTTGACCTGTGACACGAACTTCAGGTAGCCCTTGTTGGTCTGCATGTTGTTGTTGCTCTCCCAGTAGGTCTCCAGGACGCGGCTGCGGGTCAGCTGGGGTCAGCTCGGGCCTCCCTCGCCCCTCCCTCCAGGGCCTCCCTCCCACCTCGCCCGCCCAGCCTCGCGCTCACTTTATCTCCTTCTCCTCCAGAATGAGCATCTTCTCCGACAGCAGCTGGCAGGCGAAGCCGATGTTCACCGCTGTCTCTGCGAACCAGCCCTGCTCAGCGCCCTCCAGGGCCCAGCCGGCAAGCCCTGCCCATCACCGCGGCGCGCCCCGCCCCCAGCCATGGCAATTGGCTCAGTGAAGGGCACGTCACCCAGGTCAGCCAATGAGAGCCAGCTCTGAGACTGTCTACTGGCTGGGGCTAGGCCATGGGAACGAGGTGAGTGCAAGACAGGGGGGTCAGGCATCGCATGACCTTTTAGGATCCTCAAAAATTTCTTTATCTCTTAAAATCATAGTGAAAAATATAATATATAATTCCGCCTGGATATTTGTCTTTATATGCCCCTCACATGTCAGCTTTAGCCTCCGCGGGCAGGAAGGGGTCCACTCAGGCATATGAAATCCTCCGCAGCCAGGTGGGCACCAGCCCGGTGGAGACCCAGGGAATCACAGGCCACCTATGTGGCTGGGCGCCTCTGGGGAGGTGTCTCAAGCTCTCTGAGCATTGCTGCACCCATCTCCTACACATGGGTGCTGAGGACCCTACCTTGCAGCGTTCCTGTGAGGACAAGACCCTCACCACATGCTCGGCAGCTGCCCAACCATGGAAGGCACCAAAAGGTCTCCACACTTCTAATTACTGTTTCTCCCTTTCCCAGGGACAATATGGAGAATAGCACTGAACCCAAACAGATGGACAGGTGGATGGGGGAATGATGGACCAGGTGTGAGAGGGCTGGGGGAGAGGCACTGGTGACCCACCTTGCTTGTCCCCAGTGAGCACCCAAAATTTGATATTTCCTCTCCTGAGACACTTGATGGTGTCCGGAACGCCATCCTGGAGTTTATCCTCAATGGCTGTGACCCCCAGCAGCTGGTGGAAAGTTGGGGACAGGGAGGACACTGAGCAGGGACCCAGCGGGGGGTGGGTCCCCGGGCCGCATGCCAGCCCCACACACGGCCCACCTGCAGCTTCTGCTCCATCTGCTCGTAGACGTCGTGCAGGGCCTGGGCCCGGTTCTGCAGCAGGAGGCAGGCCTGCTGGTGGTGGGGCTTCCACTCCTCATAGGCCTCCTCCTTCACCTTCCTGTAGGCCAGGCACAGCGTCCGCAGGGTCTCCTCCGCAAAGGCCTGGGGCGGCAGCGGCGGTCACCACCCTGCAGATCCTGAAGACTTCTCTAGACCTCCACTCTGCTTGTCTGGACCCCTCCTTGGTCAGGACTCCCCCAACCCTTGACCCCTCCCTCTGGGAGTCCCTGTCACTGAGGGGACAGGAACACCAATCTGTCTCAGGCCCCCATGGAAGGCCCAGCACACTCTCATCCAATGGCCTCAAGGAAGGGGGCCCCGTGGTCCCTTGCTCCCCCTCCCAGCTGCCCAGGCTTCCCTCCCCGTAGGCAGCTCCAGGTGTGGAAGGGGTTGGGGGGTCTGGAGAGCACCGAGGGCCCCCAAGGGTGGGAGAGCTTCAGGAGGCCTTGGGCCTCAGTTCACCTGCCCGCTCCAAGGGGGGATGGACCTCAAGCTCCTCAGCTCTGTGACTTTGACAGGTTGGACACCTAACTGTCCCCCACTGCCACAGGAGGGCAGGGCGGGGAGCCCCAGCCTGGACACACATGATGGGAAGAGGCCTGTGGTAGGGTGCAGGCTCCCTGAAGCTGGGGCCTGTCGTGAGTCCCAAGGACCAAGAGATTGTGAATAACAAAGAATGAGCGGCATCCCAAGCAGACAGAGGGCTGTGTGCAGAGCCCAAGGTGCCCAGGTGTGGGGCAGACCTCAGGCCAGAACCCGGGCAAACCAAGGCAGAGGCCAGCAGGAGAGCTGAGCTTCTCGCCCATGAAGGAAGGCCTTGCAACAGAAAGGGCTGGAGGTGGGGCAGTGCCCAGGCCAAAGCCCAACCCACCCGTGCAGCCCCTGTGTGAATTACAGGAAGACATCTCTCTGGGTTGGAGAGATGGAGAGCAGCCCCTCCCAGCTTCTGGGGTGGGGGGAGAAAGGTTTGTGCAGTGCACAACCTGCCCAAGTACATTGCCCCAAGGGCTGGCAGCCCTCCTTCTTCCCCCATCTCTCTATCCCTGAACCTTTCCCCCAAGCAGGGACTCACAAACAGTACTTCCTCTGTGGTCATCTCCATGTCACCCCTCTTGTGTAAGCGTTCCAGGATGACAGTGTCCGCGCCTTTGGTGTAGAGGCGGATGGAGCCCTCTGGGTTCCGGACTATGCAGGGGGTAGGGGAGAGGCCAGGCTGCCGACTACGCTCGCCTCCTGCCACCCCCAGCCCGAGGTGGGGAGGGTCCAGGGCTCACCCAGCACTGACATCCGTTTGCGCACGCTGTTGAAGTCCATCATGGCCAGGACCTGGTAGACCCGCTCCTCCCCCAGCTCCATCACCGTGATGGTGTCCTGGGTGCGCGACAGGAACACGTAGCCAAAGTTCCGGGCTGCCGTCACCAGTGCCTCCTCATCCGGGGACGCCGCCTGGTATACCAGCTGGTCTGGCGAGAGAGAGGACCAGTCGGGTGAAGGCAAGGGGCAGCAAGCATTCCCCGGGACTTTGGGGTGGTCCTCAGGGTCACAGGGCAGGTCCCATCTCACCTCACAGTGGAGGGGAGGAAATCAGTAGGTCAGAGCTGGAGAATGTTTGTAGAACAACAGCCTCTGATCCTGGGCGACCTCTGAGCCCAAGGGAGGTGACCACTTGGGTCTGGCCTGTGTGACCTCCCTACTGAAACCAGATTCCTGAGGCTCAGGCCCTGACCCTGCACGTGCTTTTCCTCGGAACCTTCTGCCTCTGATCCCAACGCGAAGCCATCTTGCCTGGCCACAGGCCTGGACGGCCTTGAGGAGATGCCTAGGACTTGGACTGAGCACCCTCCAGCTGGTCAGGGCCAGCTCCGAGGCCAGGGACACTCAGGGGCACCTCAGGGGCCCCTAGGGCTCTAAGCCACTGCTCAGTTGGAGGAGGGGAGGTAAGGCCAGGAGCACCCCACGACTCACTGTCACTCTGGTGGACCATCACAGTGTGACAGATGGCCAGCAGGCGCCAGAACTCCTGAACCATCTTGTCCTGCTTCTTCCGGACGATGCCCAGGAGCTCCTCGTTGTGGTAAAGGAACTTCTTGTCTGCAAACTTGTTCCACAGGTAAGGGTTCTTCTGGAGGGCAGGGGGTGACCAGCTGAGTCTGGGCCTGTCACTGCCCACTCCCCACTATCCGCGTGGTCAGGCGGCAGGACTCACCTTAGCAGGGGTCTCGATCTTGTTATCTGGACCTGAGGAGAGACCCTGCTTCAGAATCCCACACCCCCTGCACTCCTATCCTCAGACTTCCAGGGACCCCGGATGTGGCAGGAGAAGCCACGCAGGTGTGCGGCAGTATGGCCACAGCCCGTGGTTCAGGTTTGGTGTGGGCACAGCAGCGGTGCTGCTCCTCAGTGATGGGCCCTGGCAGGGTGCGTAGGCCATGGTGGGGCACCACCTGAGACTGGAGCCTGGCGTGGGCGTGGCCCCACCCTGGGCGGGTCCCACTGGGGAGGGGCCCACCGTAGACGCGGCCGGCGATGCAGCACTTCTTGAAGGTCATGATGTTCTGCGTGAGCGTGCCCGTCTTGTCTGAGAAGACGTACTGCACCTGGCCCAGCTGGTCGTTGAGGCTGGTGCTTCGGGCCTTGGCGGGCGTGTCCTGCGGCTCGTGGTACATCTGCACGTCCCAGTTGATGAAGATGCTGTTCCCCAGGTGGATGAACTCGGCTCTGCGAACGCACACGGGTCACGCGGCGCCGCGGGCCTCCCTGCCCAGGGGTGGGCGAGGCGGCCGCGGAGGACTCACTGGATGAACATGGCCATGGGCACCAGGACGCTGAGCAGGATGAGGAAGCTCCAGAAGTTCAAGAAGGACTCCGTGAACACGCTCCGCGTGTGCATGGCCCAGAGGTAGTAGTGCTTCTCTCTGAAGTCTCTCACCTTGAAACTGAAGCCCAGGGCCAAGCACAAGGAGACCACCACCAGGGACAGGAAGATCTGCAGGGTGTGGCAGAGAGGGGGCATGCTCTCCCTTGAAAGGACAAGCAGCCCTGGGGCCCAGGGTGTGGCATGGGCCGGTGAGGGGGGAGGGGGCCTGGAAGGTAAGAATTGTTAAATTTCAGGACAGTGTAGGTGAGCTTTTGGTTATTTCCCACAGGTTTGCAAAGGGTCAGGGTCAAGTTTCATAACACGGGGGAAGCAGTGCTCTGCCCCTGAGCTACAGCCATGGCTGTTTGTATTTTGAGATGGTGCCTTGCTCAGTTGCCCAGTCTGGCCTTGAACTGGCAAGGGAGGACAGCCACCATGTCTGGTTCCACACATTGTTTTTTAATATTTATTTTTTAGCTGTAGTTGAACTCCATGTCTTTATTTATTTTTTATGCGGTGCTGAGGATCGAACCCAGGGCCTCATACGTGCCAGGCGAGCGCTCTACCGCTGAGCCACAACTGCAGCCTTCCACGCATTTTTAAAAAAAACTGTTATTTTAACAAAACGTTCTCTGACCCAGAGACTTGTTCCCTGGATCAGGCTGCACACTTTTCAGGGGAAGGGAACTTAAGCCAGGAAGATGGCCATAGGGCTTCTGTTAGTGGTGACCAGCCCTGCCCTTGTCAGTGTCCCTTGCAAGGGTTCTGGTTGGCAGCTCACCAGGACCACCAGCTTGTTCATGAAAAGGTCTAGCTTGGTTCTCTTCAAATGGATCTTGCCACAGTTCTTCATGATCTTAGTGTCAAAACCTGCAGGGTTGGTACCTGTCCATCCATCTATCTTCCCATCCATTCACCCCACCCATTTCGCCCCCCATCCTGGACATTGAACTCAGGGGTGCTCTGCCACTGAGCCACACCTCAGCTCTTTTTATTTTTGAGACAGGGTCTGGCTAAGTTGCCCAGGCTGGCCTGGAACCTGGATGTCCTGCCTCAGCCTCCGAGTCTCCGGGACGACAAACATGGCTCATCCATTTGTTTATCCCACCCACCAGCCAGTCCACCCCACCACCAACCCGTCCATCTACACACAAGCACCACGGGTGCTGGCTCAGCATGGTCAGCCTGTGAACCCTGGCTCAGGGGAGCCTTGGGAGCCTTGGGAGCCTGCGTTGCTCAGCAGGCACACAGTGGTGGCAGTGCCTGGCTTGGCTGCCTCTTTCCCACCCCAACAGCTCCCATGGCAAGGGCCCCGGAGCACCGTACCAGCATAGATGACCAGGCCATAGCAGGTGTCTGTGTTGCGGACCCTGCAGCCGCGGAGGAGGAGGTTGCCAATGTCCAGGGGATACTTCTTGCTGTTCCACTCCAGGATTCCCACAAACTGGTGCATCCGGCTGTTGGGCTCCTCACAGAACACGGTACCTGTGGCCACTGGGTGGTCAGGGAGGGGTGCCAGGCGAGTTCTGGACTGTGTGGCTAGGTGTTGGCACAGGACTCCCTGTGCCCCTCCCCAATTGAGGCCAGGAAACCTTCCTGCCACCCTGCAGCTCTAGTCACACCCTCATGGTCCTGCAGTGCCACAGACTTGAACACTGATATCCCTCATGGCCACGGGCCGTGCACACCTGCTTCTCCTGCGGCCCTCCGGGCTAGCCCCACCAGACCCCCGCCTTTCCTGCTCTGGGCCTAGGTGTGTGGCGGACTTTTATGCCTGAGATGGTATCATCAGCGTCATGAGCCACCCTCAGTCACGGTCACACAGTTTCCCCAGGGCCTGGCCCAGCACGTGGCATACAGTAGGTGCTCAGTACATATACAAGGTGGGAAGGAGGGAAGGGAGCTTAATCCAGTATCCTGCTTCTTCTGGATGCTCGGGCCTGTCCCCCCCCCTCATGCCATCCACTGTCACAGATGATGTCTGTCTCATTCCTGTTTGAGCAGATGGGCTCCAGGGCAGACACCAACCCAGGACAGTGTTCACTGAGGGTCGAAATAACCACGGGTGTGGAGAGGGGCTGAAGGGCTGCCAGGTTCTGGAATGGTCCTCACCTGCCTGCCCCAGTCCATCCCCGGGACTGGGCGCCTGACTTGGTCCTAAATGTAGGAATCAGAAACATGGGGGGGGGAAGGGCGGGGCAGAGAGTCCCTGGCAAGCCCAAACTTTCACCAACTTTCTGACCTTAGCCACCTCCTCTGGAAGGTGAGACCCTGCCCTGAGGGATGTGGGGTGGCTGGACCAGGCCAGGGCCCAGAGAGAGCCTCCTGCCAATCATCTCAAGGTCTGCGGGACCCGCGGGTGTGGGGGTGGCAAGCTCAATCAAAAGTCCCTGCCTCTTTCTGAATCTGTCCCCATGGAGTCAGCAGGGTCAGGGGTGCCAAGGAGGGAGGCGCCCTTTCCCAGATCTCACGGCCATCCAGGAAGACAGTGCTGGGTGTCAGGAGCCAGTTCAAGAGTGACTTCCCTTTGCAGTGGGGCAGGAAACAGGCTGTCCCCCACTGGCCACAGCACGGCCACTGCCCCCACACCAGGTGTGTGAAGACTCCTGACAGGGAAGCCAGGGGCCTGCTGCCGTGCCTCCACCCCCGCTCCTGGCCAGCTGAGGCCAGGGCCGCTCTCAACAGGACCACCCGCGATGGCTGTGCGGCTGCTCTTTAAGCGGAAAAGAAAACACCGCCCCAGCAAAATGCTGCCGCCGCCGCGCAGCCACAGGACACCAAGATCCCCCTAATTGCACACCCAGGGAGGGAAGGTGAGTGGGCGGTGGTGACCAGCCTGTTAGAAGCCACTAAAGGCTGCCAAACCCGTGGGTCAAGGAACACCTCAGCGGCAGCCACAACGCCCACCACCAGAGTCCATGTGATGCCAGCCCCAAGAAGGGCACTCAGAGAGAGGCCCGGGGCCGTGCCACAGCCACAGCGCCCCTTACCCTGGAAGGCTGCCATCTTCTTCGTGCTGGTCAGCTCTTCATGGGTGGCCGGCAGGGCCTGTCTGAACTTCAGATTGGTCTCCCTGGCCATGAAAAGGGGGCAACAGGTGAGACCCCAGGCGGGGGCCTCCTCCCCAGGCACTAACACCACATTCTTGCTGCGCCATGGGTGCCAGTTGTCAGTACAAGCACACCCAGTGCCCGCGTCCTCCCCCGGGAACCTGAACAGCACGTGGCCAAGCAGCCTGGCCGCCCACCTCTTTGGAGGCTGGGAGGCGACTCCGCTGGGCCTGGTAACCCCGGGGGACTCTCACCCATCGATGTCGACCGTCTCCACGTAGCACAAGCTGCTGGGCTCTGTGCTGGCCAGCAGGAGCAGGTCGGCCTGGGGAGGGAGAGAATGTGGCAGCAGGTGGCGGCCGCTTCCCGGGCTGGGCAGAGCGTGGCCAGGCGGCTCACCGGGACGATGCTGTCCTTGCTGAGGCGCACCACGTCCCCCACACACAGGTCCTTCCACTTCTTCCAGGAGAACCTGCCGGGTAGGAGGCGTGAGAGGCCAGGACAGCCGCGGTGGCACTGCAAGGCCAGCACAGCTCAGGCCACCGCCCCCAGGCCTCCCCCAGTCCTTGCTCCTGTCCAGTGACACTGGGGCCCATGTCCAAAAGCCTGTTAGCCTCTCGTCACCCTCCCCTTGGTCTGAGCTCCACACAACATAGGAGCAGACACTCAGGGCCTCTTCCTCTCTGTCCCCATCCCAGGGCTGGCCTCTGGCCTGGTAGATGGCAGGTGCCTAATAAGTGCAGACCTGGGTCCTGATCAGATTCAACCAGGAGGCCCAGGAGCACCAAGGTGCCAGCCATTCTGTGGACACTGCCTGTATGGCCAGGCCCGGCATGCGGGAGCCCGCTGGTCCTGGCACGTCCCCTAAGCTACCCTCACAGCCTCACCTTTTGCCTGTCAGGATCTGGCAGGGCCTGTTGTTGATGGCCTTGTCGCTCCTGTGCCGCCCCTGGGCCAACAGGGTGGGGTCAGAGGTGCCCTCTTCCCCACAGTCCCCTCCCCGGGCAGCTCCACCCTGACTCCACTTACAATGTCATCCATGAGGTCACGGGCGGCGCGTACGACGAGGAGACAGACCAGGGGGGCAAAGAGAGTGAGCCAGGGCAGCGTGGAGATCTCAGGCATGGCCTGCACATGTGGGCAGGTGGCGTCAGCCAGCAGGTGGGGCCTCCCGTGCTTCCCCACCCCCTCCAAGTCCGGCCCTCTGAGCACCTCGCCTCCTCCCCGTCCTCCTTCAGGTCTGAACTCCATCCTCACCTCTCCAGGTGCCCCCAACCCCTCACCGGGTCCTGAATCACTTGCAGACAGAGGTCAGGGTCACTGCTCAGTCCCTCCACCCCATGCCCAGCCTAGAAGCTGCATACAGAAGGTGCCCAATCATGCTTAAGCACCCAGTGAATAACAGCAGAGCATCTCACCTTCTCCAGACCAGAAGCAAGACGCTGGATGGGTGAGGTGTTTGGGAACAGTGCCCCCCAGGGAGAGGAGGCTCCCTGCTGGATGCCTGCCCTATCCTGACCTGACTGTCCCTGCTGGCCAGTCCTGAGGACCCCATCTGCACCCTGTTTCCTCATCCTCTGCGGTCAGCTTTGCAGCTCAGGCCGAGGGAGTCAGTGAGAGCCGGCAGGACACCCTCCTGGGCCTGGAGGGCAGGTGACCCTCCTTCATGCAGCATGCATTGGGCACCTCTGTGTGCCAGGCTGCAGCGGGGGCCGGGGAAGGACCAGAGGGACGGCCACCCATGGGTACAAGCACAGGAGTCACAGCCCAGGGCTCTAGGGCCGTGCTGCCGGGGTGGCTGGGGAGGGTGTCCCCGGGGAGGAGAGGACAGTGCTGCTGGGGCCTGCAGGCTAGGACGTGGCTGGGGTGGCAGCCTGGGTCCCACCTGCAGGATGATGATGAAGAGGAAGTACAGGTTGGACACGCGGCGGAACTGCTCGTAGAGGTTCAGGGGCAGGAAGGAGAGGACGCTGTACTTGGCCGTGCGGATGACGTTGGTCTGGAAGAGAGCTACCAGTGGGCATGCAGGGTGCTGCCAGGCCGGGACCCCAGCCAGCCCAGCCCTCCCTGGACAGGGCCCTCGCCTGCGCCTGAGAGGCCACGGCCAGATTTAGTCAGGCGTCTACTGAACCAGGCCACGGAGCACCGCTGTGGCCATCGTTAGTGGACAGCTGAACGTGGTCCCGCGGCTGGGACTCCTGTGCTCCGGGCAAGGCCCCACGGGAGGTTGGACACAGGACTTCGGGGTATGTATTAGGTGACTTTCATCTTCCCTGGGCAGGGAACAGGAATGAACCAAGCCAGCCATGGTAAGGACAGGAGCTGGCGCCTGAATAACATCAGAATGCAGGGCACACGCAGGTGACCGGAGGTGACCCATGGGGCTCCGGGAAGCAGGGTGGGGGCCCACCTTGTACTTGTCCCTGTACCAGCACAGGCACACCTTCTTCTTGAACTGCTTGTAGTAGCCCCAGTCGTTGGCCCTCACCTCCCAGGTGAACTCTGCAGGGACAGGCAGCTGATGGCGCTGGCAGGAGCACTAAGGGGTCCCCAGGGGCCTGGGCGGCTTGTAAACAAACGGTTGGCACCTTTGGGTGCAACCCAGTCCCTGCCCTGTGCTCAGCGGATGCGGGCACAGGGATCCCAGGAGTGTCTCCCTTCCCGAGTCACCTCCACTCAGAATGCGCCTGGAGACTCACTAACGTCCACTCACGTCCACAGATGGGCAAAGTGAGGCTTGGTGATGGGCTGTCAGGGACCCAAGACCCACGGCCTGCTTGCGCAGCCCCGAATCCTGAGTCCCCCATTCAGTGATGCGTGTGAAGCCCCATGTGAGCACCATGCAAGTCCTGCATGTTTGTTGGGGGGTAGTCCCAGCCCCCCCATTCCCCGAGGGCACGCCTCCCTCCGCCCCAGGACCTGCACCTGTGTGCTCCTTATCCTTCAGGTCTCCTTTGTGGGTACCACTGCCCATGTTGGTGAGGCTGTCAAGGAGAAGGGCCCAAGGCCAACATCACACCTGTGGCCCTGGCCTAGGCTGGACACTGCCTGTTACTGGGCCCTCAAGGAGTTCAGGGCCTAGGGGTCCACCCTCTACACTGACTACCACGTGTAGCTGTGGCCACCTCCCTGGGCTCAGAAAATTCTGCCACTGTCTGTGTGTCCTCAGACCCAGGGGTCCCAAACCTTTCCCAAACCTGCAACAGCCTCACGTCCACCAGTCTCCCAGATGGCACCCCAATTTTGCCTCCATTACAGCCCAGACCAGGGATTCTAGCCAGGAGCCAGTGCTCCCTGCTCCAAGACAACCCTGCCCAGTTGCCCCTCCTGCCCCTCCCTCTGGGGCCCAGCACTGGGTTAGATGCTCAATCCGTGTTTGTTGACGGACCAGACAGACCCGGGGTTATGTCATATCTCCCAGCAGTGTACACGAGGGGTCTGGCCTTGGGGAGCCTAGGGAGGGTCCAGCAGGCCCAGCCACTCCCCTCCCAGCTGGGAACCCTCTGGTTGACAGGCTCAGGAATTCTGAGTCTGGTTTTTCACCAGGGGACCCTGGTCCAGCCACTAGGAGGTCATTCCAACCACCCCTAACCAGCAGCCCCTTCCCTGGCAGCTCCCCAAATAATCCCTCACCCAACAGCGCGGACCCAGGAGTCCCAAGCCCACCCTGAGCCTGAGAGGCGCCCCACTCCACAGCACTTCAGCTGCTGCCTCCTCCCCAAGCCCTGCCAGAGAGCACTTTCCCCGCACAGTTGAAGCCTCCTCACCGCGGCGACCTCACTCTGTATGTCCCGGACCTCGAAGGCTGCGCCCTGCGCCTCCCTGGGGCTTGCCCTCTGCCTGGGGGGTCCCCCATCCTGTTTCTGACTGCCTCTGTCCTCTACTCTCTCCTTTTCTGCTGAACCCTCCACCTCCCTGGGGCTGGGATCACAAGCATTGAGTCATCAGTGTCCCCAGGGCCTGGTGGGGCAGGGCCTGGCTCAGGGACAGCGCTGGTCTTCTGGGAATCTGAGAGGGGCCAGTGCCCATTCACCAGATGAGGAAAAGTGAGGTTGAGGTGAAGTGCAGCTTGGTGAGGGGAAGACCCGGTGGGTGGGGGCTGGGTATGGAGGAGACCAGATGGCCAGAATCCCCCAGAGTTATCTGGGGACAGAAGCACACAGCTTGCTTCCTCCCACCCCACTTGCAACTAACCCGAGCCCCAGTAATCACAGTCCCAAGGATTCCCCCCGGGGGGGTGCAGGGCAGGTTTCAAATGCCCAGAGCACAGCCCAGGCCAGGGAACTCTGTCTACTGGGCGCCAGGCTCTCTGGCACCCCGTCCCAGTGTCCTGTGCACAAACCTCTAGGGGGTGCCCTGAATTGGCCGCTGCAACCCAAGCCCTCAGACCGCCGAAACCCGGAGGACGCATAGCAGTGGAGCACTCGCCGCTCACCTGCGCGGGCCGGGCGGGGGGGGACCGGGCTGCTTAAGGCGGGCCGCCGGGCATCCAGCCGGTGGACTTGGTGGAGCTGTTAGCCCCGTGCCAACGGGTCTGAAACGGGCGGCACGGGCTGGGGGCGGGGCTGGGGCCGGCTCTTGACGAGGGAGGGGCCAGGAAGAAGGCGGGGCCTGGCTGAGAGGGCAGCCGGGGGCGGGGACAAGCTCGGGGGCGGGGACAGGCCGCAGGCGGGACCTATAGGAACCTCGCAAAGAGGGGCGGGGCCCGGGCGAGTTGCTCTCCGCCGGGGCGGGGCGCCGTGGCCCTGCCTGTCATCGCGGTGCACCGGAGGCTGAGGCAGGAGCATCGCAAGCTCAAAGCCAGCGTCAGCAACTTTGCGCGGCCCTAAGCAACTGAGACCCTGTCTCAAAATTTAAAAAGTATTTTGAATTTTAAAAATTTATTTTAATAAAAAATGGTTCAGTGGCTAAACGCTCCTGGGTTCAATCCCTAGTACAAAACAAACAGATAAGGCGTCAGGAGCGGCCCGAGGATGGGGGCGTGGAGGGGCTTCATTCCGCAGGGAAGGATCGGGAAGATCTTCAAAACAGGTCCCGGTAGTTAATGTCCAGTCCCGCCAAGACGGGCCTTGCAGGCATGACTGTGTGGGGCTGGAGTGGAGGACACAGGTCATGCAGGTATGTGGCCTGGCTGCCTGCCGGCCGGAGCACCTCCCCCCGCGCAGGCGCCGTGCTGGCTCTAGGCTGGGGGCCAGGTTAAAACACTGATCAGCCTGCGGGGGTGCCGGAGGAAGCCCACGGGGGTGTCCCGCGTGCACTGCCCAGAGGGCCGGTTGAGGGTGGGGGGGAGGGGGACCGAGGAGATATCCCTGGTCAGCAGCAGTCTTCAGACAGAACTTTCTGAAACTTGGAAATTAGGAGGGCACCAAACTTTGGCTGCCCAGGCCCTTCCTGCCCTCCTGCCCTTCCCCCTATCCAGCCCCTATGGCAGGGTCCCTCCCTCTGGCCTGGCCCCCACCCAAAAGACCAGGGTGCCTGTGTCTGCCAGACTGTCCCCCAATCTCCTCCCAGTGTCACCTACAGGCAGATGCTGGGTGAATGAAGGAAAGAGGCTGCAGTGGGGAAGACATGGGCCCCACTCCCTCCCCCAAGTGGCCGCCTTCCGAGGCTCCCAGTGAACACACACTTAGCTTTGGAAACCAAGGGCAAGCTTGTTTGACTCTTAGGGGTGCCTAAGATTGATTAAAGCAAAAGGCACTTATCTGACACCCAGTCATTGGTTATAAGACTCCCGTGGGGGGAGTCCTAAGAAATTTTTCTGGTACCCTTTAGCCAAGTGCAGTGGCCCATGCTTGTGATCCCAGCAGCCCAGGAGGCTGAGACAAGAGGATGGCAAATTCAAAACCAGCCTCAGCAACAGCGAAGCGCTAGCAACTCAGTGAGACCCTGTCTCTAAATAAAATACAAAATAGGGCTGGGGGTGTGGCTCAGTGGCCGAGTGCCCAAGTTCAATCCCCAGTAGGAAAATAAAAAAAAAAAGGTACCCTTTAGAAGAGTCCTTGCTTTGGAGAGCTGTGGCACCAGATCTCCGCACCCTCCACAGGGGGTCATCCCAGTGGGGACAAAGCATTTCCCAAGCACAGAAGATCACGTGTGTAAAGGCCTTGAGGCCTCCAGGGCCAACAGACCAGTTTGGCAGGCAGAAGAGGAGCTGGCCCTCAGTTATCAGCTGGCTTGTTGGCCAGCCTCTGGAGCTCCCCAACTGCCCACAACCTCCCTGGGGCAGCACGTGCGTCCTGGGGAAAGGGAGTTGATATCACACAGACGGGGGCTTCTGTGAATACATCGGCACCATTTATTTAGAAAATGCCTTGTTTACAGAAGGTGGGGGACAGTCAACTTGGTCAAAAGAACAGCCCCCAAGGATGAAGATGGCCTGACTTAACTAGGGACACCCACAGAGCTAGGTACCCCAACATGGACCCCAGGGCTCCAGGAGTCCTTTCTCCTTGCAGCCTGGGGACAGAAAGTGCTGGGGGAGTGGCCTCCATGTCCTTAGCCCTCGGCCCTACTCTCCTGGCCTTCAACAGCCTAAGTGACCAGGATGGCAGACTACCTCTTCTAGGTGGCCAACAGTGTCCTGACCCAGACCTCCACCCTGCCCCGAAGCTGAAGTCCCTCCCTGTCTCCTGGTCCAAGAAGTTCTCCAGCTTGACTTGTTAGACACACACAATTGAGGGCCTAATGGCCTTGGGCCTCCTCTTACCCCAACCAGCCAGCACAAGTCACAGATGGGGCCACTCAGCCACAGTTGGTGCAGCTGGCATCTCCTGGCCAGGGGATGGAGAGGCACGCAGTGGGCCAGGCCTTCCGCAGATACGAGCAGGCATCACTCCATCAACCCAGGGGCCCCTGTGTGCAGCGCACCCCCCAGAGCAGGCAAGGTGGGGCTGAATCTACCCTCAGGCAGGGGACAGGAAGTGGGGCCGGCTGCTCTAAGACACCCAGGCAAGCTCCAGGGCTGCTCCAGGACAGGTCCTCAAGCAGGGATGGCTTGGGCCCAGAGAGGCCATCTGATGAAGGTGAGACAAGGCCCACTTGCTCTCCTCACCTGGCCCCGGGGTTGGTGGCCCCACAGGGTGTGTGCGGAGGTCCTGCTGGGCACCAGGAGCACCACCAGACCATGGAGTCTAAAATCCATACAAACATTTATTGTCCCTGCCCAGGGTGGGAGAGAGTGGGGTACAGAGAACCCTATGGGGAGGAGGGCGGGGCTCTGGTGGGAAGACAGTGTCCAGAGGCTGGCGGGCCCTTGGGGGCTGGTTTGGCTCTCAGAGGTCACGGAAGTCTAGATGGGCGGGGGAGGCGGTTCTGGAAGCCAGCCACCCAAGCACAAGGAGCTCTCTGGAGCCCAGAGTGGGACATCCAGGCCCACCTGGGCTGGATCTTTGTGAAAGGCACCCGGGCCACTGGCTCGGGTCTGGCTAGCCCACCCCTGTCCCCCAGGAGGGAAGCCGCACCAGGGCCTTGTTCCTCTGGTGGGGGAGGTAACTGTGCAAGTCAACAGGTTTAAATTAATAATAATAACAATACAAAATAAAAAAAAAAAGAACCCCTGTCTCAAACAAGCCCACAACAGCCCGCCCTGCCCCGACCACGTCACCGCACACGAAGAGCAGGGACAGGCCAGGTCCCACTGCCCTGGGCATACAACTGGAACCTGGCAGGGGCTGGGTCTGTCCTGGTCAGCAGCAGTCTTCAGACAGGACAGGCCTAGGAGGGGCAAGGACGTGGGGACAGGCATGAGGGGCCACGGCAGGGGCTGGGCTGCAGGGTTGTCTTTGCACTCTGCTCTCTCATGGCGCTGGCTCGTCCCGCTTCTGGGTTCCGTGTCTTGGCGAGGCGCACAGCATTAGCTCTCGAGATTTATTGCACTGTT